GTATGTACTTGTTAACTTAACTGTTATAATATAACACGCGCTATTTAACCAGTAGTAAATTGAATCGGTTTATTATTTTCATTATTATTGATGTGTGTGTGTTTGTGTGAGTGTGTTTGTCTGTGTGTGTGTGCGTGTGTGTGTGTGTGCGTGTGTGTGAGGGTTTATTAATAGCAGACATCATTGTCATTTTTTTTCAAATAGCCTACTGTAAGAATACATCGGTATTGCTCATTCTATAACTTGTAACTGTCTATAATTTTAATAAGATCAATAATAATAATAATTATAATAATAATATAATAATAATATAGTATAATTAATAATTATCCTTATTATTATTATTAAATTATTATAGTTCATTCATTAAATATTGTTCAATTTACGTAAAAATTATCACAGGCCATGATGGATGCGTTGGTTTTTAATATAAATACTCTTTTCTTTCATTCATTTTATTTGTTCATTCATTCATTCATTCATTCGTTCAATCATTCATTCATTCATTCATTAAATCATTCATCCATTCATTCACCCAATCAACCATCCAGCTAACTCTCAAGCCAATCAATGAACGAACTAACTATTCAACCAATCAATCACGCACTCAAATTCAGATGGTTTTGATGTCACAGATCACCAACTGGTTGACAATGACTGGATCTACCATCTGGACACTGACATACCTGCCATTTATCGGGTTGGGGCACTTTAGCGTGTGTTGCCCCATCTGTCGCGGAGAAATAAATTTTTTCGAATTTTAATAATTTAAATTGAAGAGTGATTATTTCATTAATTGGTTTATTGTTTGCCATTTTAGTTATCAATATCTCATCACCTCACCATCATCGCCATCCTAATCGTCGTCGTCGTCATCATCGTAATCGTTATTATCATCATCATCGTTAAAATCATTATCATAACCCTAACCTCACCATCACCATCATCATCGTCATCATCATCGCTATCGTAACCGTATCGTAATATCCGTCGGTATTGTCGGTAAAGTAGCAGAGACCGTTATCGCCAAAACCGTCCCCGACCCCAATGTTGGCGAAAAAATTACCGATCCTTATGTTCGCCGTGTGCAGAACGCCTGTGACCATGATGATGATGAGGAGGAGGAAGAAGATGAAGATGATGACGACGACGATGATGACAAAAACGATGATGATGATGATGATGGTGATACAATGATGATGATGATGATGGTGATAGAGTTAACGATGATGATGATGATGATGGTGATACAATGATGATGATGATGATGATGATAGAGTTAACGATGATGATGATGATGATCACTACACCAGTCAACCAACCTATCAAATAATTAATCATTCAGACATTTATCAAACCACCGTCCAACCAACCAGCCAACCAATCACCAGCCAACCAACCAATCACCAACCAACCAACCAACCAATTACCAACCAACCAAACAATCACCAACCACCAACCAACCAACCACCAACCAACCAACCACCAACCAACCAACCAATCACCAGCCAACCAACATACCGGAAATCTTCAGTCCACTGATATTTCTCGCGGTAGCCAAATCATAAACGAGCCATTCATGGGCACCGTAGCCTGACCTGTAGCAGCTTGTGACGTCACTGTCCGCCGCCAAGTGGCTGACGTAGTTGTTGAAGTGGCTACGGCTGAACGTCTGCTGCTGGGCGACAGCAGCTGTGTGTGTGTGTGTTTGTGTGTGTATGTTTGTGTGCGTGTGCGCTGCTTTCATGATAACAAAGGATTATTTAAAAGTGTACATGATTACGACGATGATGATGAAAATAGTGATGACGATGTTGATGGCGATGAAGACGACGACGATGATGGCGATGGTATTATTGAAGATGAATTCATTAAAAAGAACCTGGGGATTATTGTTATTATTATTGTTATTATTATTACTAGTAGTAGTTGTTGTAGCAATATTAGTAGTAGTGGTAGCAGCAGCAGCAGCAGCCTTAGTAGTAGAAGTAGTGGTAGTAGTAGTAGTAGTAGTAGTAATAGTAGTAGTAGTAGTGGCAGTATTAACAGTAGTAGTAGTAGTAGTAGTAGTAGTAGTAGTAGTAGTAGTAGTAGTAGTAGCAGTAGTATTAGTATTAGTAGTATTAGTAGTAGTAGTAGTAGTAGTAGTAATAGTAGTAGTAGTAACTTTATCATCTTACCTTCAAAACAGATGATGGCCATTGTAACGAAAGCAGCGCAGATGGCCAGGCCGGAAGCGTTTTTATCATTCATGGCGATAATGATGACGATGACGATGGTGTGGTAGTAGTGATAGTATTACTACTGTCGGTAATAGTAATAGTTGTGGCAGTTGTGGCTGTTGTGGCAGTTGTGGCTGTTATAGTAGCAGTAGAAGCTGTTTTTGTTGTTATCGTTCTAGAAGTAATGATAATATTGAATAAATATAAATGTGGTCTTATTAATCATGGCAGGTATGTCAAACAATGAAAAACATAGTAATAGTAATAGTAGTAGTAGT